TCCTCCTCCTCCTCCTCCTCCTCCTCCTCCTGCTGAAGGTCTGTGATTCCAATTGCTCCCCCCCCCATTGTGGTTGTTGGTGGCGACGATGGTGGTGTCTGGACGGTTCCCACCGGGCTTGCTACCCGAGTTATGAGACCCTGAAGAAGCCACCGAACTAGCGGACAGGGACGCAGACGCCGCAGAACAGTACCGCCTTGCGCTCTCTGAGAGCGACCTTGGTGGGCGCCCAGACTCTTCCGTCACTTCCAAGTAATGAACAAGCACCACGAACGACTCCTGACCCTTCCTCTCCAGCAACCAGTAGCTCCGCCTCTGGAACAGCTCGTTCTCCGAGCAATGCGCGTAATAACAGTGGAGAATGTCCACGCTGCCTACCTTGAGCTTTTCGTGCGCTTCCTTCACCGTTCTCCCATCTTTCTTCTTCTGCCAGTCGTGCCCGTCCTTCCGGAAGTACCGACACTTCTTTTTGTCGAACAGGTACAATGTACCACTTTCGGGTCGATCCGCTGGCTCCATAGCCAAGGAGAACGCATGCACTCTGTAGTTCCTGATAAGGTATTCCACTTCGCGAGGACGCAGCCATCTGCGTTTGGCCTCTTCAAGCACCTTGCCCACGTCGATCGCGCTGTCGCGACCTTGGGAGGACCCAGCTGAGCGTCGCCGGCTGCTGCTGCTCCCTGACTCATGATGCGGCGGCGCCATCACGGCCGGAGATGTTACGCCTCCTACTTGAAACGCATTCGAGCGCAGAGGGGAGATGGGGCTCGTTCGTTCTCGGGAACTCGACCGTGGTATCTGGTGGTGATGACGACTCCCCACTCCCCCACTCTGCCTACACCTTCTTCAGCTCCAGTACCCTCTGAAGATGTGGCTGAAGATGTGGCTGAAATCGATCACCTGCCCGCTCACTCCTTTAACCGCTCAGCGAAGACGAACCTACCACGTCCCTCGACTTGTGTTGTGTGTCCGTCTTGGAAAACTTGCGATCCGTCGCTTGAGGAGGCGATCTGAATTGCTTAGGCGCCGAAGAGCAGAACGGGATAGCAAGAGCGAGAATGTACGATGTGCGCAACGCATGCAACCATTAGTGACCATCATAAGATTTATTCCACCGTCCATCTGCCGCCTGCTCTCGATGCCCAACCAGCTTGGATGCCACCGTCACCATGTTGCGGTCTTCAGAACCGCCATGACCATGTTCCACATCCCCAGATCGATCAGCGATCGTGTTCATCTTTCCTTCGACCTCCCTCCCCCCCTCATTCTTCTTCTCTCTCTCTCTCTCTCTCTCTCTCTCTCTCTCTCTCTCTCTCTCTCTCTCTCGGACGGCACAAGATGCAGAGGGAAAGGAACCAACAATGTGAGACCACTGATGATTGTAGTCTTCTCAGTAGCAGGTGGACTGCTGGTTTGATCGAGGTGGGGGAGGTGCAATGACAGTCTGGTTGAAGGGTATCTGCAATCCCGAGTCTGTCCATGATGCTTAATAGATGGTAACTACACGGGCTCAACGGTCTCCCCAAGGCGCTTGCAAGTCTGGCGATGCGTGCCGTACCATCCATGGATGTGGAAGCTAAGATGTAGAGTGTCGTCGGAGAAACCGCGTCCACTCGCGCACTTTCCCGGCGCGGACCTGATCTTCCACTCTGGCGGGCGCAACTCAACCTCCACGTCATCACGCGCTTCTATACTCTGCGACCCTGTGCCCCTGTGCGAGCCCAAGTGTCAACGCGAGGGACTTTTCTAAGATCTCGTTAGGACTTGCGAGATACGCACCCCGGGCTCCACGTACAACTAAACAATTTTCCGTTCGACGAGCACTTTTCTCGGCAGGCACCTCCTGAGGCGTCCTCTGGCGTATCTTTGGAAGAATACTATAGCCGACGGGTGCCGATTCTGTCGCGCCTACCGGTGCCGCAGGCGCATTTGGTAAACTACTCAACAACGTGGGTGGTTCTCCGGCGGGTGTTTGAGAAAACCGGAAAGAACAACAAAACTGGAGTTGAATCCACATGGAGTTAGATATCTGTTTTTTTTTTGTTTTTGTTTTTTTTTCGGTTTTTCTTTTTATAATTCGAAATGCCCCTGAAGTTTGCGTTTATTTGCGACGTGCCCCTCTGACGGCCGACTTACCTTGTCGCGCCCCTCTGACGAGGAATGACGTTTCCAGAAAACCCCTGGCGTCGTTTGGGCCTGAATATGTTTCATATGCCCCTACCGGTACTGGTACCGAATTTCCAGTATGCCCCTACCGGCTGGCCATTGAGAACCTGAGTAGGGCCCGTAGCATAATAGTGCTTATTGTGGTCAGAATTTTATGCTAAGGTGTTGAGTTGTTGTCGGGGAAGTATTGTAGGACTGAAGTGTTGAAGGTTTTTTGAAGGCCGTGGAACAATGTGAAGAAAGGGATTGTGTTTGGTGCGGCCTCGAACTCAGGACCGGTACCCGGTTTTGGAAAGGTACTAAAGGCCAAATATGTAGGTTGGGATAATGGATTTGAACTCTCGAACTGCCGGAGGAATTCGTGATTCAGTAGTTTCTGTAATGAGGAGATTTGAACTCTGGCCTGGACGTCAGCAGGGTCCGCTTGGTGTCAGGTGTCTAGAAGTTGTCGGTACGGCTCTTTATGCGTCAGACTGATAGTGAACTGTAATTCCTACTCTATAACGAGCAAGATATATACCGCTACATTGAGGAAGTCTTTACTGACAAACACCGAAAGGTCCCTGATGAGTTGCTGGCATGGCAGCCAGCCGAAACCGGTCGGATCAGCCACGGTTTCGTACTCAGTTGTTATGTTTTACTGTCATTATTTTTCAACTGAGTTACGCTCGGGAGATTTCACTTACTATCTTGCATCGGTTCTATGTGTGTTTTACAGTGTCTATTTCCTTCCCCTTTTTCTCCTTCCTCCTTGCTTACGCGTGTTCGCACAGGGTGATCATTTCGGCGCAAAACATCGGGTGGCCGTATCCAATCAGACAGTGCTTCTGCAATCAATGGTCCTTTTTGGGATTGACGAATCAACGCGCAGGGGTACGTGTAAAGGCGCAACTCAGATCCGTCTACACGTGTCCTCGCGCGGCGTTAGCTGGGCCAGACATCCGCTCGTCTAATTACTCCGTAATGCAAGATGCAACGACCGCAAAGCTCAATCAACAAGCAGAACTGAGAGCGGGACTACCGATTGCGCAAAAAAAATCCTATCTTACTCATGCATGCACCAAAAGGCAGTAAACAAAGGCAAAGGCAAGGATCCTATAGAGAGATAAGCAACCAATCATGACATCCATACATCGATTCATTCAGCAACATACACACAGTGCATCGGAGCCAAAGTGTGAGCAAAAGTCCAAGTCCAAATTCCGAAAAAATAAAAAACGGGCAGATCGCCCTGAGCCGAAGTCAAAATTTATACACAGAGGCAAGGAGGGGGAAAAGACAAAGAAACAGCAAATCCACGTCCATCAACCTCAACTCTCTCTTTTTCTCCCTCTCTCTCTCTCTCCGATGCGGACAGTCCGTCGTCGCGCACCAACCCACGAAGCTGTCACCCCGCTTAGTCCTCCCGCACCCGTCAGGTTCGCCCGCGCCCACAGTCCGTCGTGGCCCGCGTCAACCCCGCGCGTTTGGCACCAGCTCGTCGGGTCGGCCGACTCCTGCTCTACTCACCTCTTATATCGCTCATGTGCCGACCCTCTCTGATCGAGCAACCCCGAGCTTCCAATAGCTGGTTAAGAGAGTTAACTTATCGCACAGTCGAAATTTATAGCGTACATGCTTGCGCGAAGAACGTGGAATTACAAGGACTTGGGAAAGAGGATTACAGAGGGAGCGCCTGCATTCTGCATGACCGGGCCGCGGCATGGGGGACGTAGCTGCTTTCCACGCATCGATCCGAGCATGCAGACCGTGGCTACAAAAACGCAGCAAAAGAAAGAGAAGGAGGGCGGGAAAGACGAAGCGCACGAAGAAAGATACAGTACAATGGTGCCAGCCCAAAATTACAGTTACACACCCGATTAACGGCGCCGACTAATCATAATTTCGTTGCAGCCGCGTAAAGAAGCGCGTAAGCAAAAAGGCGCCACGCGGCAAAAGAAAGTCCTAATTACAAAATTCCTAAGTTTCTAACTAATGCGAAAAAGCAAAAGTACAGGTTCTGGAAGGGAAGTCCGAAATTCCGAGAGCCATCGGGGCTCGACAAAATTCGAAAAAGAATTAAAAAAGAACGAAGCAAATTCCCGCGCGATGTCCTCGCCCAAAAAGTTCCGAAACCGAACCAAAAAGAAATGACATCAACATTTATTAATAACGCGCCTGGCGGCGCGCTAGCCATCCGACCCATCAATCACCCGTCCCGAGACACACCCAACTCCGAACTCAGCCATCCAAAAAGAATCGATGCAAAAGACGAAGAAGCGAGGGTACTGATGCAATTTCCCATCCATCCCAATCTCCCGTAATTTGCCCAACCTTCCCAGCTTAGGACCCCTTATTGCAACCGCGTAGAAAGTCGCGCGCTACAGAAAATGGTTTGTCACAACGTTACCTAATCAGCAGTCTGCGGCTCCGACGTACAATTTGGGAGGATACGTAAGAGGTGGAGGATGGTATCAAACGAATCAAAGGTTGAATAATATTGAAGAAACTGTTTCCAAGATGAAAGTACGGTATGATGCAGAAGAGGAGCGTGAGCGTACGAGGAAGGAAGAAGAGGAGCGCAACAAAAGAAAACGAGAAGAAGAAGAATGGAGAGCACGAGACAAGAAGGAACGGGAAGACTTTCAGAAGCAATTAGGAGAATCGATGAATACGAGATTCGATGTGCTGTGTGAGGCATTATTGGGGAAGAAGAAGGAAGGTAGCGACGAGTTTGAGAAGTTAAAAAGGCAAATCGACAAACTGGAGAAGCTACAGTCGGGTTTTGTGCCTGTGATGAACGAATGTGTGTCAGTGGATATGACAGCTAGGCGGCTGCATGAGCAAGAAGAGGAGCAGCGTAAGGCCTGTGAGGAGTCAGAGAGGAGGATAGTCATTCTAGAGGAAGAGGTAGTCCTGCTAAGAAGGCTCAATGAGCAGAAGACGAGTGAGGCTGCGACGTGGAAGCAGGAAGCGCTGAGACCTGGCAATAAGCGGGGAGCGGTGATCGTGGAGGAAACGCCCAACCAGCATGTCGTGTTCAGCCATGTTGTACGGCACTGAAGACGCCCGGGGCTCATGTGGTCACAATGGCCGAGGTACACGCAAAGGAGGTTGCCGCCCTGAAGGAACTGCGCAGTAGGGATTTGAATGGTCATAGGGAGGCGGAGCAGGAGGTCCAGAGATTGAAGGAGGAACTGGAACTTTTGAGAATGGAGAAGGAGCATGAGCGGCCAGGGATGAGTGGCACTAACCTAAGGAAGAAACTCGAAGAGGTGGCGAATGTGACAGCCTGGAAGATAGACAAAGGCAAAAAAAAGGTTGGCGAGCAAGGTTTACGTGTGAATGATAAAGAAAAGTTTGTGGCGGAGAATCGACGTTTTCTTAAGCCGTTGAAAAAGAAGGATATCTTGTTGATCTGCAGAAACGAAGGGGTGATTTACTCGACTCCGGATAAGACCAAAGAGGAGATATTTGTGCAGCGAGCAGCGAAAGCCTTCCCCCAGCTTGACGAGCAACAGGGTACGGATAGAAGAAGTTTCTGATGATACCAGGGAGACAAGTGCGGATCTTGGTAAGGTTGGTGAACACGAGGTTTCTTCTTAGTGTCTGCCCCGAACGTAGCTCGTCTCTGGAATCTTGCAAGGCAATGTAAGAACAAACGCTCTGTCTCTGTCGATCGTCTACGTTGTAGAACTCTCAACACCTTGTTTTGTTACGTGTTGTTATTGTTGACTTTGCATCGTCAGCTTCCCTGGACATTGAAATTTGTTGGGTGTGTGAAACGGCTTCTTTCTGATGGGTTTGACTTTGATCGTTGCCCAGGTCCCTTAGTATATGCTCTCATTTTCCCATGGTATAAGCATGTGTATGTAGGTTGTACTTCTCGAGAGATCTGTCTACGCGATGGTGTGAACACGTGTATCGGGCCACGAATTTGTCGGTGGGAGGGCGGAGTGATCGTAATTAAAAGTTGTATAGATGGTTAAGAAGGTGTGAGGCTAGTAGTTATGTTGCCATCCCTATCTGTGTGTCTTACGCGGATGATCTCTTGAGCTGCGAAAAATTCTTTATTCGGTGTAGCTCTTCCCTTCTTAATGTTTGTGGAAAGTCGCAGCGTTCAAGGAAATGCAGACAGCTGAGACAGGGTCTTCGGGAGAGATTGAGGGAAAAAAGACGTAACAATACCCAGTTCGATGTAGTAAAGAAGGATTTGTCCTTGGTTTCCTTCCATGCGAGTAACGGTATTGTTTCCTGCAGTCTTCTCCGCATCCTGAATGAGTGCGCGAAAAAGAATCAGTCCCGTTGTGTAGTAGTTTGCAGAGAGGGGGATGTGTTATGTGACGATTGAAAGGTGTTACGTCGTTGTTTTGGTCCCTCCGTAGTGTCGAGTGAGTATGGATGTTTTCAACTGCGTAAGGCCAATGGATGGATTCGTGGTGGTGTTACTCTGGCCTTTCACTCTATCATACCCTTTCTGAAACGCTCGCTGGTTTTCAAAGATCCACTTTCTGGTTTCCTTAGTAATCCTGCTTCCCACAGGTCTCTCTATAGTTGGAGTTTCGACCAGGTAGTTTACGCTTACTCTGTTGTTCGTTGTTTTTCAGAGAAGAGGACTCGTTTCCGTCTACGTTGTGTTTTGTCGCAATTTGCCTTACGGACCTTTAATGTGCATTTAAGGCAACGGTTAGTGGTTAAGGTAGTATACGATCAGACAATCATGAAGGCTAAGGTCTGTCGACTATGTGCCAAGATTGTGAGAGGATTGAAAATCTCGATTGCTCTGAAAGACTTATTGATTCGACGACTTGCGGTGTCGTAACAGGACCGTGGGGGACTTAATCCATAACTTTCGAAGGGGAGCAAGGTCTGAGGAGGTTATTTGTACGTGTGAGAAGGCGGATGCTGAGTTCCCTCGGAGCAACGGACACGTAGTCTTTAGGTTTAATGAGACGACATTTTTTCCTCAAGTGATGTTGAACTCTCGTAACATTCTAAGACCGTTTATCCTTCGTTCTGTTTCAAATCTGCGTAAGCAAATCATTTCTGGCACTCTCTCGTCCATTCCTTTTGTATCGAGCAAAAATCTATTTGATGTTAATCTGAAGTCTTGTTGCAACTGTTGCTCTGTGCCATCTTCTGATTCTGGTGTTCCCTGCTCTATTGACGTTGTGCGTGGTCAACTTCCGTGTCTTGAGGGGTTGGTGATTTCACCCATCGATCACAATTCAGGGGACACTTTTGCTTGTTCCCCCGTTGTCTATAGATCCGACCTTGATAAGCTGTCTTTTAGCAATCCTTCCTTCTCTGGGTGCGTTGGGGATGAGAATGTTGTATTGGGTAGATCAAAGGAAGAGTACTTTGGAAAGAGATTGCAGGAGGTAGCGAAATGGAATGACACGGGATCGTTCGGGCATGCGTACTGCATTCCGGAACACAAGGATGTGGAACGATGGAGGGCGATTTGTCCTGCCTATTTTGAATAAGGTGTGTCTGGGAGTAGAAGGATTTCTAGAGCTATCAACAAGTTGCTGTGGAGCTTGCCGAGCCAATCTCATTTCAATTTAAGGGTCACTACTGACCTCTTGAAAAGGATTAGGGATATGAATAAGCAGCTGAAGAAGGATGAGTATTTGGTGGGTGCTTCCTTCGATGTCAAGGAAATATTTTTCTAATCTGCAGCATGACGCGATTATAAGAGCGGTGGAATGGGTCACTGATTTTTGGATGGAACAGGGGTACAAGTCGGTTGCGGTGAGTAGGCGAGGCAAGGATGCTAAGTTAAGCAAGACAAAAAAGGAGGAAGGCTGTATATGCATATCGTTTCAGCAGATGATTTTGTTCGTCTCCTTTGAGCTCCACAATACCTTTGTTTTTGTCTTAGGTAGGCTTCTTCAACAGACAGTAGGAATTCTCATGGGCAAGCCGTCAAGCCCTGCTCTCGCATGTCTACTTCTTGCTTTCAATGAGTATCTTTTCTTGGCTACCTTGGGTTCGCAGCAACGACTGGTTCATGGATGTCGGTTAGTCGATGACGTCTCAGTTTTTGTCGTATGTAGCAAGAGTGATTCGTTATCGAAGAGTCGCGGGCAGCAGTTGATCAAACGATTTTATGAATGCTATGACCATAATCTGGTACTGGAACAAACTAAAGAGGGCCAGTGCTGGGATTTTCTAGGTTGTGTGTTGAAAATCTTTGAGACGGCGGGCAAGGTTGTGTGTATGCCTATGCATAAAAACCAACGCGGCTGGAAGAAAGATAAGTTGAGTTTTCAGAGCCTGCAAGATTTTTCCTCTTACTCAAGTCGGCAACAGAAGATGGCGGTTATTGGATTTTTTTTGCATCGGGCTAGGAGTTTTACCACCGTCGCAGGAATGGAGCTGCCTTTTCTGTTCACCCTGAAGCTTGAGCTATGGCGACGGGATTACCCTTATGTTTATTTCGATAATTCTTTAATTAATTTCTCCAATAAATTCTCGGGTTTGTGGAAGAAGTGGACTGTTTTGACCGGATGGGACAAATACTTTTGATTTGGAAATACTGTGGGAAAAGCCCGAAGTAGGGCCCGTAGCATAATAGTGCTTTAAGTTATTGTGCTCATAATTTTATGCTACAGTGTTGAGTTGTTGTCGGACATTTAAGGGAAGTATTGTAGGACTGAAGCGTTGAAGGTTTTTCGAAGGTCATGGAACAATGTGAAGAAAGGGATTGTGTTTGGTGCGGCCTCGAACTCAAGACCGGTACCCGGTTTTGGAAGGGTACTAAGGCCGAATATGTAGGTTGGGATAATGAATTTGAACTCTCGAACTGCCGGAGGAATTTGTGATTCAGTAGTTTCAGTAATGAGAAGATTTGAACTCTGGCCTGGACGTCAGTAGGGTCCGCTTGGTATCAGGTGTCTAGAAGTTGTCGGTACGGCTCTTTATGCGTTAGACTGATAGTGAACTGTAATTCCTACTCTATAACGAGCAAGATATACACCGCTACAGTGAGGAAGTCTTTACCGACAAACATTGAAAGGTCCCTGATGAGTTGTTGGCATGGCAGCCAGCCAAAACCGGTCGGATGAGCCACGGTTTCATACTCAGTTGTTATGTTTTACTGTCATTATTTTTCAACTGAGTTACGTTCGGGAGATTCCACTTACTATCTTGCATCGGTTCTATGTGTGTTTTACAGTGTCTGTATTTCCTTCCCCTTTTTCTCCTTCCTCCTTCTTCCTCTTATTCCTCTTCTTCCTCTTCTTCCTCTTCTTCCTCCTCCTCCTCCCTTTCTGCGTTCATGCAAGGCCTAAATTAAAGACATCGATTGGTCGAGAACTAAGGTTGTTCACTAACAACAACATTGAGAACCAACAGACAACTTTCCCATATGCCCTTACCGGTACCGTCCATCTTTCCAGCAAGCCCTTGTCGTCGTTGTTGACAGTCGCAGTCTTTCCCCTGGCCCCGGGAGAGGTGCTACCGGGGCATCTCTCTCTCTTTCTCTCTCTCTCTCTCTCTCTCTCACACACACACACACACACACACACACACACACACATACACACAGACATACAGACGCACGCGTGTGCACGGGAGATGACGCCAAGAAGACGACCATGGTGATGGTCAGGAGGTCGACAATCGAGGAGGAGGAGTAGAGGGAGGGGTGACGAGGAGAAAGTTGGAGGAGGGAGAAACGAAGGAAGAGGAGGGAAGAGGAGTAGGGAGGACAAGGACCATGACGATGAGGGACAAGGATAGAGAAAGGAGGCTGGAGGAAGAGGGAGGAGGGCGATGAGCATGGATGGAGGAGGAGAGAGGAGGGCGATGAGCATGGATGGAGGAGGAGAGAGGAGGGCGATGTGCATGGACACACACACACACACACATGCTCACCTTCGCACAGCAGGTGTATGCACTCCAATGAAGCTTTCCCGACGTGGCGAACTCGAAGACTGTCTGCTGCACCATTTTTTCCGTGGCGGCATGTCAAATACCTACCACTTCGAATTCGAATTCCTCCCGCCACTGCTGCAAGGGCATAATAGAAAGATGTGTGCCCCTCGTGAGGGCATTTCGAGGACGAACAAACAAAATGCCATCAGCGGTCCATTAAGGGCATATCGGAAAGTTACACCCCATGCTGACAGGGGCCTGCGGAAAA